TCATTTTATTCAAATACATGATATGATGCATGCTAAACGTCTTGATTTTAATCCAATTAACTTTAGAAAATATTTGGACTTTAAATGATTCACTAATATTTAATTTGAAGCACACTTTAAAAATAATTTACAAAAATAATTTTTCGTTTCCTAATAAGTGCTCTCAAATTAATTAGTAATCAAATCCAATTAATTTTCATAATTTAATTAATATAAATCAAGTCATTTAATTAAATATCATGGATCCAATGCATGAATAATAATAATAAACAATTAATTATTCCATGCATCGGTTAAATAAATAAATAACAGACAGAAACAATTTAAATGACCAATGGATTCAGCTTTTAACATTTAAATACTATTCTTGTTGTACGGGCGTCCACCAACGGCTTGTAAACACCTGCAGAGAGCTGGTACGCGCTAGGTGAAGCAAAACGACGCTTGGAACGCGCCCGGAAGACCCCACACGCGCTTGCACGCGCCTGGAGGAGCTGTAGCTCAACCCCACGCGCTTGCACGCGCTAGGGATAGGTTTAGGCGCGTGGCACGCGCCTTCACGCGCTGCTACGCGCAGGAAAGAGAAGCAGGCGCGTGGCACGCGCCTCACGCGCTGCCACGCGCGTTGATCAACCAAAACATGCTGGCGCGTGTTCCTCACGCGCCAGCTTGATGAAACTGATTTGATCCGGCGCGTGAGAATCACACGCCCATTGGTTGGCGGTGCATTGGGGCTTCATAAGCTGCGTTACACTTGATACCTTCCAGCCTCTGATGAAGATCCAAGGGCTGATGGTGCACGCGCATGTGAAGCGCGTTGCACCGGATCATCCTCCTAACTTCCAGTGTTGATCTCGCCGTCGGTAACTTTCCGGTCACCGGAAAAACGCCAAAAATCCAGAAAAATAATTTTAAAAATTCTAGAAAATTAAATTAAGCCCAAAAAATTCCAGAAAAAATCCGAAAAATTCTGGAAAAATTCTAGAAAATTACTGAAGCATAATTTAACCCTCTTGGACCTTCTTGAATCTTCATAGCAACCTTTGATGAATATTACATGGCTTTAAAAATATTTACAATTTGAAATACAATGAAAAAATTAAATTACATCATTGAACTTTCAAACGGCTAAATCAAAGCCTTAATTATAGTCATCCAAAGATAAAATTACATTCAATTAACCTAAAAGCTTCATCCATGGCCCAAACACACATCATCATCCATTCACAATTATACATATATCATCATGTATCAATATATTAAATCATACATCAATATATATATATAATTTGGATCCATGATGATGATTTTGATAAAAACATGATCTCTAGTAATGAATCAAACCATGCTCTGATTCCACTGTTAGGAAACGTGCTAGTTTTAAAAACTTTTCGAGGGATTTAAATTCATAGATCTTGATTCATCACATAGAGATAAGTTTTATGCAAGAATAAAACATGATGTATCATTCAATTAAAAGATTGAATACTTACATCAAGGTTTGAGTAAACCTTAGATCTCTCCTCTAAAGTGAACGTTCTCACTTATTGTAGATCCCTTTTGCTAGACACCTTTTCCATGGATCTCCATCTTCTTGGTAATTGTTTTGCCTTTAGGAATCACTCATAAGCCTCCATGAATGACCTTGGAAAACTAGGCTTGTGGGAGCCTCCATTAGATGTAAACATAAACCCTAATTTTCTAGAGAGAGAAAATATATATTCCTTTTTCCTTCTACTAAAAATCACCCCTAAAATATACATAGACCATGTATATTTATAGGTAACATAAAGGTAAAGAAAAGGAAACAACTAATCCTTCTCAATCTCTAATTCACATGTCTCAAATCTAATATGATTCCAATATCAAGTCGGGCTATGAGTGAGAATCCATTGGGCCTATTATTTTATTGGCTACAATGAATTAATAATTGGCCCGGTCCATGGACCCAATTCAATTAATTCATAAATTAATTTCTACTCCACTAAAAGAAATTAATTGAACTCCAATTAAATAATAAATAACCACTAAGTAAATATTGCACTTTGACCCCTCTATGCATAATTAGTTATCGGATAAATAATGCCATCAATCCGACTACTTAATTAATATATTTATTTTGGTACCTTTGATTATTTCTGGCTTGATCACAATAAAACATTTGTTTGACAAAAAATAATAATTTAATAAATAAATATATAATAAATCATTTTGTCTAAAAACATACGAAGGCCTTCGAATTTACTTTGTGATCAACCATAATCAATACAAAATAAATACAAGTAGCAATGATGCAAATATTGAAAATATAACCCTCTAACTATTAATTACATAACTACCCAAAGTGTCGGTCTAAGGATTCCGAAGAATCCGCCGAACAAATCAAAGTAATTATTAATTAATAAAAGAGTCTATAATTTTCTCATACTTAAGGTCAAATGCTATGACGGTGCTAGGGAGCAATTGCATACGACGGCTCTCGCAATATATCTCAACCTAACGCGGATTCAGTTCAAGTCTTAATTAATTATGAGTCCATCCATAATTACCGACTATGAACAATTTATAATTACTATGTATATATCATGCATTGATTGCCATCACATACATATATATAAATATATCTTGTAATCACAGGGACACTATCAATTTCATAGTGAATCGAAACATAATACATTAAATTCACCAATTATATAAATCATAAATATTTCAAATATGTCAGGAACATATGTCACTTTAATCTAGATAGGAATTTGCTATGCCAGTGCATATAAATCCCAACAGCCATGGTGTCTACGCCATGGCCTTATATCAGATGGCAACAGTACGCCCACACACAAAAGTGTGGTTGCACACCATTTTTTTGTTCTTTCAACATACTGACGTATTGAAGACATTGTCCTTCAAAGCAATGGAATCTTTTGTGTTGAAAAATCGTTCGATCGTTTCTATAGTGCCCCACAACAAGGAGAGAATATTGGGTACCCCAAGGGTACCCCGTCAGCTTGTTCCACCTGGTATCCCAATCCAATAAAAACATGACAATTGGCTAACTTTCCACATCAGCTTCATACTCAACATGCCACTAACAGAACGTCGTTAACTTCGTTAAAAAAAAAAAAAATTATGAAACCTATCTTCTTCGGCATATAACTCACCGAGCCAGATCCAACCGGATCCGAGAGCGCGGGGCCGACTGGTGTGTGAATAACCGCTGCGATCTTCGCCGGAGCGGAGGCGAAACCGAGCTGCAGACGGAAATCCTGCACCACGACGCTCAGTAAACCGACCATAATTTGGCGAAGGCGTCGCCGTACGCGTCACCTTGGCTGAATCCAAAGGCGTGTACAGGGATCTTGAGGTGTGAGTAGTGCGTGGAACAGACGACGGAGGATTGACGCCTTTCCATCGCCGATTTACCGGCAGAGACTGGCCCGTCGTGAACGTCTTCTAACACCTTCGCTGCTTTTTTCAGCGCGTCGGTGAAACTCGAGCCTTGGCCTGCCACAAGTGCGTCGGCAATTCGACGCGCCGATGACAGGCCGTTCACCGTCATTCTTTTCAGTGGTAACAACCTCTTGGAGTTCGCCGAGAAAGCCACAATGGAGAGACGATCGGCGGATGAAAGAGACGACACGATCAATCGCATCGCGTGTTTCATCATCTGCAATTTCTCTACCGTCACGCTTCGCTCACATCTAATACTATCACCAAATCGACCGGTGCTCGAAGCGCCATCTTCTCTGGCGCTGGCGGCGCTCTGACCTTCAAAACTATGGCGTATGGCTCGTAACTCCGTGTTACAGATTCAAGCAATTCTCGCATCTGGGTCTCTCTCAATCGCTCCAAAATCTTTAATTCTTGTGGGTCTTTAGCTCAGACTCGTTGGTGAGCCAACTCGGCGAGATCATAAGGGACATTTCTGGGCTACCCGAGAACGTGCTTTGTGCTCGGCGATGGCTGCTGGTTGGTGGGGCCGGCGATGGTGAAGATGATTCCTCAATCCGGTCAACGCTAATTTTTTTTTTTAACAAAGTTGACGCCGTCTCCGTTAATGGCATGTTGAGTAGGAAGCTGAGGTGGAAAGGTAGCCAGTTGTCATGTTTTTATTGGATTGGGGTACCAGGTGGACAAGCTGACGAGGTACCCTTGGGGTACCCAATATTCTCCCCACAAGAAGATATATCACTTTCCTATATATGTGTGGTCTAAAAATGAAAAATAAAAATACAAGTTTTAGTGGGTGAACATCGAAGTAGTCATTCAAAGCAATGGATTCTTTTGTGTTGTTGAAAAATCGTTCGATTCTTTCTTCAATGCTCCATAACTAGGGATAGCAAATTTTTTATTTCCGTCGGATCCTCGCATTGTCCCGACCCGCCCCGCCCCATTTATAGCGGGGATGGGGACCCTTTTATGTAAACGGGAACGAGGATAGGAGTAAATTTTGAAAATCCGCCGGGGGTGGGAGTGGGATAAACCCGTCCCGCCCCGCACCGATTAAGTGTGAAATTACTAATATACCTTTACATATAATAATTTATTACTAAATTAGATTTAGTATATATATGAAAATAAGAAAAATTATGTTTTTTATTTATTTAAAATATATATGTTAATCGGGGTTAGGGACGGGACCGAGGCTGGGGTGGAGCTGGTATGGGGTCGAGGGCGGGTATAGAGGTGGTGGTGAAACTTTAACCGAAAATGAGACGGAGATGCGGATTAAAAAATTCAATGGGAATGAGAATAAGGATGGGGAATTAGATATATCACTTTCCCATGTCAATGTCCGGTTATATTTCTCTTTCATGCAACATTTCTCCAAGTTTTTGACGTGGGCCATAAAAAGGGAACCCACCCTCACTCTCCATTAATATCAATACCCTTACATAAGTTGCCTTTCAAGAAAAAAAAAAAAAAACCGTTACATAAGTTGGAAAGTGTACCAGAACTAAAATTATAAAACTAGTACATGAATTTTACAAGTGCTGTAGTACTGCTTGAAAAAAAAAAAAGCTGAAATTCTTGGTGATTTCGTAGGACATTTATAAGGAAACAGAGCCATAGAGCATTTGCTGCACTTGCTCCTCAAGGTCTGGAAGGTGATGATTATTATCGTAACTGTACATCAGAGGAACCATTCTTGCAACATTTACACAAGCATTTCTAAAAGATACTGGAAACGGACTTGGATGGAGGCACTCCTTGTTGAGACACTTCCACGCATCCGAAATCATGTCATGAACACGTTGCTGTGCAAGTTCAACCGAAGAGCCTTCGTGTTCCTTCATGTAGTAGTGCACATATGATCCATCATGCCCATCTTGATCTTCATCCTGAAAGTTAATCCAAGTCTAGATTAGGAGTGAATTAAAACTCTAAACGGGACCAGTATCATCTCCGATAAATAATCAATGCTGATGATTGTCAACACTAAGTGAGGCCCATCACGATCACTTGATGGTATAAATCACGTACAAAGGAAGTGTCTCTATCAACACTTTACACTAAATTAACTTACAAAACCTACATTCGTTGTAATAATGGCGATAAAGTGAATTTAATTTTGTTACCTTGGCACTTCCCAAGTCATCCCAAAGGCGAAGAATTGTTGCGACAGAAGATACAAGTTCTGGAATATCATTTACAAGATTTGCACTTTCGTTGGTTAAGCCATGACCCAACAGAAAGAATATGTGGGTTAGAGCCACGTGTACCCCTGAGCTAACAATTCCATTCTTTAAGTAATCCTCTGCCTTGGGTGAGTGTCCACAAGCAAACCATTTTGCTTCTACTAGAAATGCATTGCACAAAGTGGCCCACTGCAACATTCATATATTGTTCTATAATTAGTTGATGTACATACCTAATATACATAATTGTTACATTCATTTAGATGGAAGAATTATTATCATACCGCCTTTCGTAGGGATTCTGTGGGGTTTCTTCCATGCTTTTTGTAGATCTTGTAGCCGATTTCGTTAGTGGTGTCATAAAGAGCCTTGAAGCTTATCTTCATGTAGTCTGGTAGATGCTCAACAGCAGCAAATTCCCATCTGCATTTAAAATTATACAAGCAGTATTTCTAACAAATATGTAGTAGGAGTTTTGTATAAAATAATAAAAACTCTTTCTTCAACGCATACCTGTTGACAGCTTCTGTGAAGAGAGTGAGTTCCTCGAGCGTCCCATGAACATCAAAGATGTCATCTATTATGTAAATAAGAGAAATTGGCTTTGTTAGCTCAATCCTTTCCTCAGACAAGCTTGAATCTGTGAGGATCGCCATCGACCACATGTGCCATTTAAGTGGTTGGTCTCTAGCAAACTTCAACTCCTTTGCCAAACCCAGGTTTTCCCACCATCTAAAATTTTAAAGATATGCACATTAGACATAAATCGATCTCAATTACAGAATGATATATATAAATGTAAACTATATCTCAATTACAAAAAAATTAATTCCCAAGCCATAATACACACTCACTTGGAAACTTGAAAGATTTCCTTTTGGTGTTTGGATTGAACCAACTTGTAATCCATTTCGGCTAGTTCTTCCAGGACATTTTCCCAACCAGTAATGCCTTTGAAATCTTTGAGGAAGTTCTTCACCATGGACCTTGCCAAGCTCTTGTGATATGGATTCTCCAGAGTTCTCCCAATAATCCTACCTTGATGATGATCAAGATTTGTGACCCATGTAGATAGAGTCTGGCTGGTAAAGTTTGCGGCTTCATCAAGTACATCTTCATCTTCTTCTATTCTTAGCTGCGACGCTTCATATAACCCCATCAATCCTTTGATGTCTTGTTTCATTTCTTCTTTGAACATCCCGTGCTTGTCCTTGAATATGTTAAACACATCTGTTGAAACCCAAAATTGTTGGTTGAGAACTGATTGATAACTCAAAAATCATAATCAAGTTAGGGTAGGAGGAAAAGAAAATACACTTCACCTGCAGGCACATAGTAACCTTGTTGTCTCAGTAGTCTGAATCGAAGTGAGACCTCATAAAGATGGTTGTAGTTATCAATTTCAGTGTGATTACTACTGTTAATCTTAGTATAATGCCTCTGTAAGACTGCATCAATCTCCTTGTGAAAGTGGTAGTCAATGCCTAGGCGCTGGACGGCATCAATCATGACCAAATCTTCTAATTCATCTTCTCCTACTTTGCTGAATGCATATCTAACTTCGTTCAGTTTTTGTTCATGTTTCATGTGAAGCTCATCCTGCAAAAGTAGTAGTGTCAGCTGTTGAAACATATAGGAGATATTAATTAAGGAAAAAAAAAAATAATAATAAAAAAAAAAGCCCAGTGCATGAGGCTAGCTCTTGCTATTGCAAGGTTTGGAACTCAACTGTAAAGTTGGCATATTCAATTTTAAGGTTTTCTTGTTTCGAGGGCTTAGAAGCCAAGGTGAGGGTTTCGGAAATGCTCCATTTCTGGGTGGTAGGAATAGTTGCAAAATGAGCGAGTACGGTGTTGCCAGTTTGTGGGATGGTTTTCGGAGTAATCTTGGTAGAAATAGACATGCTATGAAAGAGTGCCATGGACAGTGTTTCGAAGTTGGTAACAGAGGTATATTTTGCAGAGGTTGATGACTTAGAAATGTATCCAGACATAGAACCTTATATATAGCTAGAATATCTATTTAGTGAAGTTTCCTCACACTCACAGATTGGTATTTTTGCAAATGCATTTAAAAACAAAACCCACGAGTTTTTCACAAATAATGTGTCCTAGGTTTTGATAGAGACATTTTGTGGAAAATGTCAAACTTTTCTGTCTATTTACAATATTCATATATAGGACAGTTTACTTGATGCCACATGCGTTACGCGTCTGCATTGTTCATATGGGATATTATTGGAGTCTTGGTTAAGATTCTACTTGTATGTGTGCGAGCAGGGAAGCCCGCATTTAAATTCAGGGGCATAATAAAAATAAATAAATAAATAAAAGGTGTTTAAGAAGGAAAAAAAAAAAAAAAAAAACAAAGAAGAAGTAATAGGAAAAAAAAAATGATAAAATTTTGAAAGAAATGAATAAAAGTATGATCGATTGAATAAGGAAATTTTGACTTTTTTTAAAAGGAAATTAAAGAAATTTAAAAAGTAAAGCGAAAAAAAAAAAGATAAGAGAATTTTAGAAACTTAATATTTTTAGGCATATGCTGGTTCGGCCCCTCTGTGTGACCTGTGTGTGAATATGTATTTATTTAGATGGTGACGTTTAATATCTCATTTTCATTTCGGTGATAGATACTTATTTCAATTCACTGACACATAAATCGATTCCTGACTTTTTCTTAAGCATACTATTTGGTTTTAAGAAATTGAACTTGTTCATTAATACTATTTAGGTCAATATTGGTTTTCTGTGAATATTCTTCTATTAAGTAACCATTTTATAAGGCATCGTGTATTAAACCATGGTCATAAAATATTCATTATTTCATTATACAATAACTTGGTTATCAACTATGAAGTACGGACACGGATACGAGATACGGGTACGACACGATACGGATACGTTGACACGGTAAATTTTAAAAAAATAGGACACGGACACGGCGGGGATACGCCTATAAAATTATATATATATATATATATATATATATATATATATATATAATTACTAGAATCTTGTACAGATAAATAAAATAACAACAAATAACAGAATCAATTTCAATAATTTCATATCTGTTATAAGAAAAATATAGACAAGACAAAACAGAAAATAAATGAAAAATAAAGTTGATCCAAATTCCTCTGTTATAAGAAAAATATAGACAAGACAAAACAGAAAATAAATAAAAAATAAAGTTGATCCAAATTCTAAATGAAGATACAGAAGAGACATAACTATAATGAACTAAATATGTATATGAATAAACATATATACTTTCAGTCTTTCACAAAGTTTTGTTCATGTAACTTAAATATATATATATATATATATATTGTTCATGAAGAGAGATAATTAAAGAAGAGGAGAGACTGAGAGGAATGAGAAAATAAATTTGGTCTCACAAAAGTGTCGGATCGTGTGTCCGAGCCTCGGACACGTGTGTCTAATAAAAAATAATATTTAGACGCTTTATAGAAGTGTCCTGCTTTATAAGTTATCAACATCAGTTTGTGAATAATGCAATGTCGATTGTACCAAGAAACGGTCACAATCAAGATATATATATATATATGAATCACCTATAAAATTAGTGGTCGTAGTTTACTCGTATTTGGACAAGCGTGTGTTGTTGTATGTGCGTGCTATACCTGATTGTGATAGGGAGTAAAGGTCAAGAAATTCTGAATTTCTAATTACTTAGTATTTGGTTTGGGGAAACAGGACTTGTTTGGGTGAAGAATGCCTCACTTTTAATATCTTTTTTTTTTTAAAAAAAATTATCCTGTTTTTTAGAATCTAACTTTTTAAGAGAATGATTTTTTAATGTAAATTATCAAAGTTATACAAAAGGAGTTTATAGTTACGTAATAGTTTACTTTTTATAAATTCAATGTAATAAGGTTAAGTTGGTAATATTACAGAAAATAATAATTTTTTTTCGCTAAATAGCAAAAGAAAAAATTAACTTTTCAATTTGAACATTTAGTTTTGGACAGCTAAAAATAAAAAATGGTGGACATTTATTCTAAAACGAAGTGAATAAATATTATTGATAGATATATATGAAAAATTGATTTTTTTATGACATGAGATTGGTACATGTGATGTGATTATTAGATTCCTAACTCTTTTGCATAAAGAGTTTGTTTATTAATTATTATGTGTATCATTTTGTGGTATTGTTGTTTTCATTAGCTAATTTAGTACTTCCACCGTTGCGTGGATGTTTATCATTTGCTTTTGCTTATTCAAAATAGTTTAAAGCCGCCTCACTCGTGCTTTTTTATAATTTCTCTTTCTATAAATTGTTGTAATTTCTTCCACCAAGTCTTACACAATTGACTTTATCTAACATGTGTTTAATATTTAGGAACATCACACGAGCTTCAACAAACTTATTTGACTTTTTTGTTTACTCATTTGGAATTTTTTGTTTGATTCTAAAGGCTAATTAGTCGACTTTCCATATATATATATATAATTGGTTGATGATTTTTTGTTTGATTCTAAAGGCTAATTAGTCGACTTTTCAAATATATATATATATATATATATATATATATATATATAATTGGTCGATGATATCGAGATTATGGTATCGTTGTTGTTGGGAAGTCTTTCTGGATTATTTACTTCCTATAATTATTCAAACAAAATTACCTTCTCCTTGGTGCATGGGTTAGACACACTGATGAGCCACATAATTGTGTGGGTGCTTGTTTCATTCTTTGTTATTTGGTGTGATGAAACACTTTTTTCATCCCCTTTTTTGGGGTTGCAATTGCAAAATAAGATGGCAAGTGCCCTCGATAAATTTTTACTTTTTAATTTTCATAACAAGGCTAGAACCCTCCGTCTTTTATTTTGAAAGGAGAGGAGATACTTGGTTTTACTACAGGCCATACTGCTAGCATGTTCTAGCAAAATAGAAGAGGAAGAAACTAGTTAGTTAAAATTGCAAACTTTAAGGGTCTGTTTGGTTAACTAGAATTTGATGATGCAAAGTGAAAGAAAAGAAAAGAAAAGAAAATTAGTTTTCTATTGGTTTGTTTGGTTAGCGTCAACTAGCTAGAAAGTAAAAGAAACAAAAAAAATTTTAAATTGTTTTGTAGTTTGGTTAGCGGTTAGCGTGAAAAGAAAAGTTTTCAGGAAAGTGATAATCTCGTAACTGGTTGATTTTCCTCAAAATATTTTCTCGGTAAAACACGCGAAAATTTGTGAAAGTTCAATCATTATATGTTAGTTACTAATTATACCCTCGTAAGTTATTTCTCCTCCTTTTTCAGACTCACAAAAGGAGCGATTTCTTTTTGATAAATTAGAACTTCTAATTATATTACAACTTTCTAACTCTTTAAATTAAGACTCATAATTAAGTTACAATTTTAACTTTTTAAATTAGGACTCTATATATATGCACGACACATATATTTTTATTCATAAAATAATTATTTATAATTTTTATTATGCTTGTTGCATGATATATATTACTTAGTATTGAATTCATAATGATAGGTTTGGTATATAAATAATTTTCTTTTCACTTTTTTGCTAACCAAACTAATGAAATAATATATTCTCACAAAAGTTTTGCAAAAAAATCATGCTAACAAAATGCATGATAGAAACATAATTTTCTTTTCTTTCACTTCACTTTCTTTTCTTTTCACTTTCCATCGTCAATTTCCAGCTAACCAAATATGCATTTGGTTAGCAAGAATTTTTTAGAAAAAACTTATGAGAAAATATTGTTTAATTAGTTTGGATACCAAGAAAGTGAATGGAAAATGATTTTACATGTCAAAATTACTTTTATGAATTTAATAGTAAAATAATAATAATAATAATAATAATAGTAGTAGTAAAATAATATATACAATTAAATTACCCTTATGAATTTAATAATACTAATAATAATAATAATAATAGTAATAAAATAATTTTTTTTGTTTTTTTTTTTATTTTTTTTATTTTTTTAATTTGAAGAGTAAGATTTCTAACCAAATTAGGAATATTAATTTGTGTAAGAAAACTTTCCTTTTGTGAGTATGAAGAAGAACACAAAGAAACAACTTACAAGAGAAAACTAATATATCATGATACAATTTTCATGCAAAATTAAAATTTTCGCGTGTTTTATGGAAGAGACATTTTGAGTCAAGCAGTTACGGAAATATTACTTTCCTTAAAAACTTTCCTTTTTTAGCTAATCAAACCGTTAAAAAATTTATAAATTTTCTATTTATTTTCCTTTCTCGCTATTTCAAACTAACCAAACTAACCTTAAGGGATTTTTAGGGTAAATTTACTCTTCTATTTTTCTTTCTGGTGAAAGTCATTATCATTAATTCAATTCATGGTATTCGCTTGATTGAGCAGCCGACTGAAGCAAATTAAAATTTGGGAGGATCCGGAACCACCAAAGAAGGACAAACGTGTTGCACACCATTTAAAGTCATTGGTGCTTTAGTTCTTTCAATCTACTGGTACAACAACCAGGGACCAATCCGAACCTTGTCCTTCAAACCAACTGATTCCTTCGTGTGTGGTTAAAAAATCCCATGACCCTTCCTGTAAAGACCCCCAACAAGGAAGATATATCAGTCACTCATTAATGTGTGATCTAAAGAACGATAGACAAACTAAAAAATTTACAGGGGCAAAAAAAAAAAAACCCTAGTAGAATAGAACTTAGTAAAAGGTTGTGGAACCGAAAAAATCAACCAAAACTTTTAGGACCTTGCAAATCTTCAACTGGGCAATGATGTCAATGTCCTGTAATATTTCTCTTGCGATGTAACATTTCTCAATAATTGCGGTCGGATTAAGATTAAGCTTGGACCTGGCGTGTGTGACTGAGGAGGCCCGATAGGACATGGGCCAGATATGACTTGCAAACGCGACATTTAGTCCATACAGGTGGGTCAGGCCCATAGAAAGGCACTGCCATATGGGCCGAACGCGCATAAGCCCATCAAAGAGGACCGGGACTCATGGAGGAACGGGCCTAGATCCAGCAGTCCATCGACAT